TACTTAATCGCTCTATTCAGTTAACAAGTGCTTGCTGAGTCTAGGACTATCTCAGGCTGTGATTGAAGATAATCAAGGCACGTAAGATTCTTACTTTCTTAAAACTTATATTCCAGTGATGAAGGAGTTTCAAAACAAGTACGTAAAGATACATCCCCTGAAGCTGTGTACTCACAATGGGTGAACTTTAGGGTGTGGAAATTATGCCTCTGTGGAGGTGTTAAAAAGGAAGAAAGCTTGGCCCCAATGCATTTGATCCTCATTTTTTGCAGATCAGGTGTCTCCAGGGTTCCTCTTCCCTAAATTTTGTAACTCCCAAGCCAGCACTCCCAGTGATTTTGGTGTCTCTCATGGGCATGCTCAGAGCAGTGAAAAGTAGTCACTCGATGCGCACGTTCCTAGCCAAGGTCCAGGAAGATGATGCTCTGCCTTGTCTCAGCTCTCCCATTAGCAAGTGTCCTTTTTGTGGTCCATTTAGTGTCACTGTGTGTGTGTGTGTGTGTGTGTGTGTGTGTGTGTGCAGCGCGCGCGTGTGCGTGCATGTATTTCTGCACTTTCTATTGGTGAGTTTGCTATTTAAAATGGCCCTCACACCAGATACTGAAGTGCTGTCTTGTGTTCCTAAGCACGTGGCTGTGATGCGCCTTACAGGAAACACATGTGTTAGCGAGCATCCTGCAGGCATCAGTGACAGCACCGTTGCCGTGAGTTGAGTGTTCACGCTTCGACAGTGTGTGTTCGGTGCAGCACCTTAAAACAGAGACACACCCAAAGCACGGCTGTGCGTTGATCTACTCAGGGAAGCGTGACCAGAGACTGGCAGGAGCCTAAGCCTGGTTTCCCCTGGGAGCCAAGGGGCAGTGTTTGCTCATTCAGTTTTCACAGTGACTTCCTGGAACAGAACTAACGTGAACGCCAAAGTCGGCTGTCTGTGAGGACTGGGACAAGAATGTCTACACAGCCCCTATAACAAATGTCTGTCTTCCTTTAAAGAAAAAGCAGGATTCTTCTTTCCATCGTTGGAATAGCGGGCTCCATCCACTTATATACACTCTCGCAGAGGGCCTGTTTTAGTTGGCTGAGCTTTTCAGTATTAAGCATTAGGGGTAACCCTGTGGTGAGTAGTAATGAAAAGCTCTAGTATGTATGACAAAGGTTTTATTATGTAGCCACTCATTTACATGTTGGCGTTAGTAAACAACAGGTGGGCCTACACGTTTTCCACGTGACTGTGCTTTGAACACTGTCATGTACGTGACAGATCTTTACCTGGGCCTCTGACACTGCAACAACCACGTGCTAAAAGGGAGATTTAAATATTTAATAAGCTGTAGCTTTGTACCAATTTTTTTAGTCTTTAATCTGTTGGGTTATGTTGTGTAGTCACAGTTCAAGTTGTGATGTCAAAATAAAATGAAATAAATCTCAAATGGATAAATCAATGCTCAGGAAAAGCTCTCAGAGATTGCCCCGAACATATGGAGGGAGACATGGATATGGGCTGGGGAAAGGAAGGAAGTCAAAGAATGTAGTGAATATTAGGTTTTTCTTTACATATTTGTGAATTGTTTCACTTTTTCACAGAGAGAGTGGAAGAGGGTAGGAGGGGAGAGAGAGAGAGAAACATCTTGTGAGAGAGACTAGATTGGTTGCCTCCCACATACACCTTAGTGGGGCACATGCCCTTGATTGGGAATTGAAGCCAGTACCCTTTGGTGTGCGGGCCGATGCTCTAACCACTGAGCATCTTGGCCAGGGCTGTTTTCATTGATTTTTTTTTTGGGGGGGGGGGTAGGGGGGACTTTGATGTGAGAGAGAAACATCTATTGGCTGCCTGCATGCACACCATGAACTCTCCAGAGAACTTCCTTAGGTTGCCCAGAGTCCATTTCTAAGACACATTATAATTCAACGGGTAAAGAGCAGGCATTCAACCCTGATTGCACATTTGAATCCCTGGGGGAGCTTTTAAGCTCTCTGTGCCTGGGACACCCCCAACCAATTAAGCCTGACCCTTCGGGGCATCAGCCGGACGGCAGGCTCCCCAGGCACTCCAACGCGCAGCCCGCACGCAGGGCTGTCCCTCCTCACCCCCTCACAGCAGACTGCTCTGCCCAGGCTCTGTCTCTGAACCTTTGCTGTGTCTCTCATAGAATCCATTTCATCTATGCTTTAAGTAAATGCTTATTTCATCTTTAAAAAAAAAATACACATCCTCTTAAAAAGTGAAACAGTTCATCCCTGGCCAGGTGGCTCGGTTGGTTGGAGCATCATCCCACACACCAAATCGGTTCCGTCAGCAGTCCACGTGGTTGGTGGGGGTCTGGGGCGCCCCAGCAGCACAGCTGTGGGAACCACAGCAGAGCAATCCGTGTAAGCACACAACGCTGACCGGCGCTTTCTTCATTATTGCTCACCGTTCAGAGCCCAGGAGAGGAAGGGGTCTGACTGGCTGGTCTCCTGCCTGGGGAGAGACTCTGGCCCCTTCATTCTTCCAGGAGGAATGTGGTGACCAGAGTGGCCCCACACACCCCGCTCTCACAGCAGGGGAGAGGGGTTTCCTCAAGAAGGGGAAGGGGGATGGATGTTCCATCAAGAAGGGGGATGGATGTTGGTGAGGAGACACCCCACAAGGTCCACTCCACTCCAGCACCTCAAAGACGTGTCTTTCCTGCGTGAAACCGAGTGAGAGATCTGCGCCCAGGGCCTGGAAAGTGTTAGGTATTTTTTTCTTGCCCTTCTCCCCTCTTCTTCCTTTCTCTCGTTTTGTCCAGCTTCCTCTGGTCTCCCCTCACAGGGGTCTCAGCCTGAGAAGACCAGGTTTACCCTCCAAGGAGTCCTGGCAGACAGGTGGACAGGTAGACAGGCAGACAGGCAGGGATGACCAGTGTGAGCAGAGTGGAGGAGACCTCACGGCTGGGGTGGCGGCCGCAGTGAGGTGCAGGTGGACGGCTCTCGAGGAGAAGGCGTGGGTGACAGGTGACCAGGGACAGCTTGAGTGACAGCATGTGGGAAACAGATATAGTCGAGTGAAGCAGGCCGGCACAGGCTCAGCTTCTGATTTTTTATCCTGTTCAGTGAGCAGTGACGGAGCACCTACTGTGTGCATGTGGTTGGTTACTTGAGAAGGGTATGGGGACAGGTGAGATGGCACAGGCCCTGCCCTGCGGAGTGCCACTGAGAACGATAAGGGGCATGCCACAGAGCACTTCCCGAAGAAGGAGACTCACACTCTGTCACAAAGGCTTCCAGGGGTTACCGTTGAACTGGGTTACGAAGGATGAACCAGCCCAGCAGGGTGTGACTCAGCGGTTGAATGTTGACCCAGAAACCAAGAGGTTACCCATTCGATTCCCGGTCAGGGCTTACGGCCGGGCTCCATCCCCAGTGGGGTGTGTAGGAGGCAGCCCATCGATGACTCTCATCATTAATGTTTCTATCTCTCTCTCCCTCTCCTTTCCTCTCTGGAAAAATTTTTAAAAAAGAATGAATGAGATTTTGATCTGTAGGGTTTTCTGAGGGGGACTAAAACCTCCCAAAGAAAACAGTGAGTAGTAGATTTTGCTTAAATACACATAACATACATCTGTTCTAAAGAAGTGGAGGTGCATGGACTGGAAGGGAGGCGGGGCACCCTGAGGAAGGGCTCGGGGCAGCGGTAATGAGATTTGGGGTGGGGGTAGGAAACACCTGGGTGTACGGATAGTTCTTTGTTTCCCAGAGTGCCATGCCACCCCTCGTCTGATTGGACCTGTCCCTGCGAGATTGACAGAATATGGCCACTACAATAGCACTGACGAGGAGGCTCCCGCCTCACTGCACACAAAGACAGATGACACCCTGGAGAGGATCGGGGCTGGCGGGTGGGGAGAGTCTTGCTCTTCACTAGACAGAGGACAGAGCCTGCGTCTGGGCAGCCAGGAGTCCCAGTGATGCACTGATGGGCGTGATGCATAATTTCTGCTTCCTGCCCTGCTCTAACCCAGTGTTTTCCCCACACCCATGGTGCATCCTTTAGACACTTTTGTTCAGAGGAGAAGCAGTGACTCTCTATTGATGAGGTGTCTCTGGAGGTCTCCTGGGACAGGCCTGGGTCTCGCCTCCTCCCCTGGCCTTCCACGTGTTCCAGGACAGTGTGGGTGGTGCTTCTCGCTCCAGTGGCACCTCAGAAATATCTGGGGAGTTGGACAGAGCGGCAGGGGTGCTACGGATAGCCTTCATCTTTCTGGTAGGGAGATGGAGGCTCGCCGTGTCCGACAACTCTCTGTGTTTACACAGCCAGCAAATGGCTGGGGCAGATTGGAGCTCAGGCAGCGGGTTCTCAAGTCCAAGCTTCAAATCCTCACATTGGATCACATCTCCCCTGCAGGCTAAATTGCCAGAGCACTGATTTGCCAGGTGGCAACCAGAGTGTTTTGTTGTTTTTTTTCACAGCACCACTGAGATTTTAAGTAAACAAACCAGAGAGTGGGGTGTTCTGCCTTGCCCCATGCCCCACAGTAGGGCAGATGCTTCTGACGCTCAGGTGTGGACTCCGGGCTGCAGCCCGCTGTGTAGTTAACATGCTTGGGGAAACTGAGACCCCATCTTCTATTAGTTTCTGTCCTCCACAGTGCAGAGTACCCAACACTAATTGAGTGAATGAATGGATTCTTGAATGGATGAAAGCATGGCAGACAGATTTGTATCCTTAGCTTGTGAGCTGTCAGCTGGCCAAGCACAGCTCATTTCATTCCATCTGCAGTGAGTACAAGTCTAGATACCACACAGGGCCCAGGATTGCTTTGTTTGTTTGTTTGTAGTGCAGGTATTAGGAGGGCTGTCATTAAATGGAAGAGAAAAAAAGCCAGTGCTAACTATGCATTAGGTAAAACCCTTCATTGGGGAAGCCTGTGGTCTGAGAAGGAAAAGGGCTGGGCCCTGGGAACTGGGGGCAGGCTCCACATGAGTCTTGATGTGACCAAGAGACTAAATTGGAATTCTTTTTCTTTATTTTACAGGTCACTGCCAAGACTGCCTTCCTATTTATTTTACCTCAGTATAATGTTAGCGTGCCTACGGCAGGTAAGCAAAGCACCAGTCTCCATCTCTCTCTGGTCCTGCTAACTCTGAAGTTATCGCGTAACTTCCTTTTCCTGTGTACATGTATGGTCCTTTCAGATAAGTTAACCTCAGCATCCAACATCCTAGCTCTATTAAAGATACAGCTGCAGCCACATTCGGCTCTGCAGGTGGGGCTCTTGGGTCTTAAAGCACCAGGAACCAGACATGCTCCTCTTTCTCATTGCCAAGCGCTGGGTGCCCTCTTGATGATAAAAGTTTTTTGTTAGCTGAATCTGGTTTTCTCCTTCACTCTGTAGTAGAGTGTTGAGTTGTCTGGACTTTAAAGTGAGATTGCTTTCTTTGCCTGGCTCCACTGATGCCTAGATAAAGGACTTTGGGGGCAAATCCCTTAACCCATGGCCTTCGGAGGACGTAGCTTCAAATCTTTACTGGACTTGCCTGCCGCCTGCAGTCTCTGCAGCCAGACCCTGGGAAGCCATGCCTCTGGGGCAGCCAAATCAGTTCCTTCTTATGAGAATCAACTAAGGGATGCTGGCAAGTGAGGACAAAGACTCCCTGCTCAGGAGAGATGAGACATGATACTGGCCAGCCCCGGTAGACAGGAAGCTAGGCAGATGCCTGCCCATCCCAAAGTGCATGCCAGGCCTGGTGGGCACAGTGGACTGTCTTGCTCAGTGCCATGAAGTCCAAGGTCAAAGTCAGGCTTCTTCCTCCTATCTCTTCCTCCTAGTTAAAATCCTAGTAATTAGGACACCTCTAGACCTAGTTCAATTTATTATTTACTGACTTTAAAGTTTCTAAAAATTGTGGTGAAATACAGATAAGGTAAAATTTAACCGTCTTAACCATTTTTTTAAGTGTACAGTTCAGTGGCTTTAAGTACATACATGGTGTTTTACAGTCATCACCACCATCCATCTTTAGAACTCTTCATCTTGCAAAACTGAAACTTTGCACCTGTCAGATAATAACTCACAGTCCCCACCCCGGCAACCCCCCTCTCCTTTCTGTCTCTGTGAATTTGACTGTTTGAGGTGCCTCACATAAGTCGAACCATGTAGTATTTGTCCTTTTGTGACTGCTTAAAATTTAATTTTAAATAAACGTTTTTCTAAAATACATTTACATGATTGCTGCATGTCTTTCGGAGGAAATTTACAAAATACAGATAAACACAAGAAGGGGGAAAAAATCACAGATGACCCCACACTCAGTCAAAACTGCAGTTTACATTTTAGAGTGTGGATTCATGACCTGCTTCTTTTACTGTTAGCATGTGGTGACCCTTTTTTCCGTGCCATTAATTGTTATTTCACTCAGTAAGACATTTTGAAAAGTTATAAAGTATTTTTTAATAGGGATTACCACAAGTTATCTATTCTATCTCATACTATTGGATATTTAAGTTTCTAGTTTTTATTGTAAACAGTGCTGTAGTAAAATTCTTGTGGCTAAATTTTTGCATGTATTCATGGTTATTTTCTTCATTTTTCATGATTATTTTCTAAGGATCAATTCCTATTACTGGAATTTCTAGGTCAAGTAGTATGTACTTTTTAAAGGTATTATATATGAATGGCCAAAATATTTTCTGCCATCTAATTCTAAGGACCCATACAGCCCAAGTTTTTCTTTTCTTTTCTTTTTTTTAATATAAGGCTTTTTTTTTTATGTGAGAAGGCCAGTTTATTAATTTATAAAGAGATATTCAGTTATCAAATGTTTTCAGTACATTTCTCCCTAAAATCAATTTACATAGGATGCCAGATCATGACCCACACAGCCTTATGAATTTACCGTGAGAAAGCGGGGACCACAGCATCTCATGTGCGTGTGACCCAGGCAAGCCTTTATCTGTTTGTGAAACCAGATCACAATCAGAGGGTTGGTTTTTAAGTTTGAAAACTTTCTCAGAGAAATTACCGGACAAGTGATACCCGACACGCATCCCTTTCACAGCCAGGATGAGAAGTGAAGACTTTATGCTCCAGGGTTGAACTCAGAGCCTCTGAGCATAGAGGGCATCCCACCATGTTTTTTGTGTGAGTTTTTAAAAAATATATATTTTATTGATATATATGTTTTACAGAGAGGAAGGGACAGAAATAGAGAATTAGAAACATCGATGAGAGAGAAACATTGATCAACTGCCTCTCTGTACTGGGTATGTGCCTGCAACTGAGGTACATGCCCTTGACCAGAATCGAACTTGGGACCCTTTAGTCCATAGGCCAACACTCTATCCACTGAGCCAAACCCGTTAGGGCATCCCACCGTATTTTGGGTGTGTGCCAGTATTGGTCATATTATACCTTCGTTTGTTTGTTTTAAATTAACTGATCAAGCCAGACAAATATTCGTGTGCCTCCTGTGTACCAGCCCCTGAGTGTAATGTATAAAACACATCTGCTCTCTGACTCACAGAACTTACCATTTGGTTAGGGAGGCATCGATAATAAACAAGCGAACAACAAATAATTATAGTCACAATAACGGTGGAGAAGGAAATACACAAGGTTACATGGTCAGAAAAAATAAAGGGGTGATGACGGAAGATGTTTCTGAGAGTTGACGTCTGAGCTGCGTGTGTAGGGCGTTGTGCCGGGGGCATAGGGAGGTGGGTCTGAGTAGAAGAAAGTGCATTCCAGGCTGAGGGCTCAGTATGTGCACAGGCCTCCTGAGTGAAACAGATACCTTGGCACGTTCAGTAAATGAAGGCCCCTGTGACTGGAGCCAGCTAGGTGTGGCATCTTTCTTGGGCCTACTGAGTCCTCCTCCAGGCTACGAGGCCCGGGGAAAGGTGAAGATACATTAAAATGTATACTGAATTGAGGAGTTTTCCATTACTGTAGAGAGGGAGGATGAAGTATTGTTAAATAGCCTATCATTTGTTTAAATCTTGCCATTTGGGGCCATTTGAGCAAATAACCAAGAGAGACAATGAAATCAGAACAACCTGCTCAGTTTTGTTTCTTGAGCTCTTTAGACACCAACCCAATAGCGTTTGGTTTGTACGTACCGGAGGAAAGCAGACTTCTCGTGGGAAAAAACCTGTTCACAGTAACTGGTCTGTTGAGTTTGCGTGTTTGGCCTCTCTAAGGCCAACATGCTTTGTGTAATGGGGTGAATTGTGATCTCTAATGTTTCTTCTGAATATAACATGTAACTGGTTCAACTCGATGTTCAGAGCTTGAGTTTTAGCTGTGCGGTGAGTTTTCATACACCGTGCCTTTCCTCGCCCGGCTGAGGTTCTCATGCTCTGTGGAGAATGGCCGGTGGTGATGCTGAGGACCTCTCCTGCTTGTTGGGTTTTGTTCCCTCTCCTCCCTCCTGTCTTCTTCCCAGCTCCCAGCATTTGTTTATGGGGCTGCCATCACCCAAGTACCACACACCTAGTGTCTTAAACAGCAGAGATATATTGTCTCACAGCTCTGGAGGCTGGAAATCCAAGATCAAAGTCAGCAGGGCCACGTTCACTTGCAGACTTTAGGGAAGGGTCCGTTCAGGCCGCGGTCCTGGCTTCTGGTAATTACGTGGCTTGTGGCAGCACGAGGGCAATCTCCACGTGGCCTTCCCTCTGCCTGCACGTTGGTCTCTGTGCCCAAAGTTCCCCTCTGCAAGGACATAGTCACACTGGGTCCAGAGCCTGTTCTGCTCCCCTGTGACCTCATCTCAACTGACGACTTCAGCAACAACCCTGTTTCCATATTAGGTCACGTTCTGGGATGCTGGGGGGTAGGGCTTCAACATATGAATCTTTTGGGGACACAGTTCAACTCAAAATGGCAGCTATAATTGCAGAGACACCATTCAGAGTGAGGACTGAAGAGGGAGCTGGCACAGTCATGGCAGTAATAAGCTGTGCCTCCTGGTGGGGCGCCGGCCACGCCAGCATCCTTGCAGTTTTCTTTAAGGTCAGCAGTAATGAAGCAGGAAATGTTCCTTGTTACCAAATTCCTATTCTCCTTATTCCCATTTGCAGCCCTGTTAGGGTTGCCAGACTTAGGAAACAAAAAATCCGAGATCACCCGTTAAATTTGAATTTCAGATAAACAACAAATAACTTTCTTTTACTGTAAGCATATCTCACATTATGCATGGGACGTAATTACCCTAGAAAACGATTCTTTATGTGAAACTGAAGTTTTCCTGGCTGTCCTGTCATTTGTCTGCCTGCCATACACCCTGCTCAGCGCTGGCAGGGAATAAAATGTCAGGTTTCTGGTCTTGCCATTAGACATCGAGTCTTCTTTCTGATTAAAATGTCACACAGCATCTGGTATGATGGCAAGCAACCTATAGCCTGTAAAAGGTCAGCAAAGACCAGAGGTTCGATTCTTCGCACAGACAGACTCAAGACCTGCCTGGCCGCCCTTCTGACATAGACCAGGTGACTTCACGCAGGCTGAGTGTTTACAAGGTTGCTTGGCATTGTGCCACTACGCTGATTGGTCTTGGGCAAACCACTTAACATCTGGGTCTCCATCTCGCATCTGCAAAATTAAAGGTGACAGTCCCTTCCTCAACCCGTGTTTCCTGAAGACAGCAGCCCCAGGAGGCCTCCCAAACACGTGCCACTCACATTGTTCACAGACCCACTCTACAGGCATCAAGGCCCCACCTCAGACCTGCCGTGTCAGAATTTTCCTTCAACAAGTCCTCGGCAATTCTGGTTCCAGCCTGAGAGGCAGTGCTCTAAGCATCGTGTGCACAGAACTCCAATAGGCTTTCAAATGGCCCCATCTTCCACCCCAAAGATATGCAGGGCAACCCACCAAATTCTGTGACTCGTTTGCATCTCTCTGTTTCTGTGTTTGGTCTAGGGGTGAGGGGAGGAGGGGGAACCCCTGGGTGGGTGTGGTTTCAGGCTGGGGCTGCCCCTCCCCAGAAGTCACAGACACGCCTGCAAGGCAGTGTGGGTAGGAGTCTTGGGGGCTCTGGCATTCCTGACCTGCCTACACTGCACTCCCAGAACAGAGGATGAGGGCAGGGGCCTCTTC